AACGTGTGTCATTTTCCTTTTGACGCCTCTATAAGAAGAAAGTACTCCTCTGGGTAGCCACGGATTCCATGTTGGGGAGACTGTAGGGAGTGTTGGGGACTGGGGTTAACAAAAGTGTCAGCTGTCGCTCAGCTCCAGCTGATTGTTGCCATGTGAAACGTGGGCTCAGTGTGCCCAGGTCTTCTGATTTTTTTTTTTTTTTTTTTTTTTTTTTTTTTTTTTGAGACGGAGTTTCACTCTTGTTACCCAGGCTGGAGTGCAATGGCGCGATCTTGGCTCACCGCAACCTCCACCTCCTGGGTTCAGGCAATTCTCCTGCCTCAGCCTCCTGAGTAGCTGGGATTACAGGCACGCGCCACCATGCCCAGCTAATTTTTTGTATTTTTAGTAGAGACGGGGTTTCACTATGTTGACCAGGATGGTCTCGATCTCTCGACCTCGTGATCCACCCGCCTCGGCCTCCCAAAGGGCTGGGATTACAAGCTTGAGCCACTGCGCCCGGCCCAGGTCTTCTGATTTTTCACAAGAAGGCAGAGTTCTTGGTTTCTAAGGGAAAGATCCTGACTTTGACATCTGGCATCTGGTTTGGTTGTACTGTTCTTGTTTTTTTAGGTATGGTTGGGCTGACATTGCCTCGGCCTGATGGAACGGTGTCTGTAGATCTCCTGTTAGGGAGGGTGGCCTCAGGCCCATCTGGGTTGGAATTCTCCCTCTCCCACTTTCTAGCTTTGTGACCTTGGGCAGCTCACTTAGTTTCTCTGAGTCTCAGTTTTGTCTCCCTTAAAATAAGGTTGAAGAGGAAATGGGTCTTGCATCACGCGACCCATCCCCAGCACACGGTGAGAGTTCATGGAGTATGCTCTGTCGGTATCATGCCCCTCCAGACTGGTCCTACATTAACCCTACAGTTCCTTTTTTTCCTTTAAAAATTTTTTACTTAGCCGGGCGTGGTGGCTCAAGCCTGTAATCCCAGCACTTTGGGAGGCTGAGGCGGGTGGATCATGAGGTCAAGAGATCGAGACTATCCTGGTCAACATGGTGAAACCCCGTCTCTACTAAAAATACTAAAAATTAGCTGGGCATGGTGGCGCGTGCCTGTAATCCCAGCTACTCAGGAGGCTGAGGCAGGAGAATTGCCTGAACCCAGGAGGCGGAGGTTGCGGTGAGCCGAGATCGCGCCATTGCACTCCAGCCTGGGTAACGAGAGTGAAACTCCGTCTCAAAAAAAAAAAAAAAAAAAATTTTTTTTTACTTTTTTAAATAGGATGCCTCACTATGTTGCCTAGACTGGTCTTGAACTCCTGGCCTCGAGTGATCCTCTTGCTTCAGTCTCCCGAAGAATTGGGATTATAGGCGTGAGCCACTGCACCTGGCCTTAAAGTTTCCTTTATGGTTCCCAGCCCAGGGTGGAACTAAGGGTAAGGCTGGGGTCTTTCAGCCCCTGGGATGGCACTCCCTGGCCCCCCATTTTGAGTAACTGCTGGAAACCTCTGGGCAGGTATAAACAGTTCCCTGTTGCCTTCGGTTTCAGCCATTGGAGAAGCTGCCTCAGAGAAGGGACTTCTGTAAAAATAAGAAACAGGCTGCGCGTGGTGGCTCACACCTGTAATTCCAGCACTTTGGGAGGCCAAGATGGGCAGATCACTTGAGGTCAGGAGTTCAAGACCAGCCTGACCAACAGGGTAAAATCCGTCTCTACTAAAAATACAAAAATTAGCTGGGCATGGTGGTATGTGCCTGTAATCCCAACTATTCCAGAGACTGAGGCTGGAGAATCGCTTGAACCTGGGAGATAGGGTTGCATTGAGCAGAGATGGCGCCACTGCACTCCAGCCTGGGAGAGAGAGTGAGATTCGCCTCAAAACAACAACAACAAGGAAAACTAAATAAATAAAAATAAGGAAAAAAGATAGAGAAGAGCCTTCTTTGTTCCCAATTCTTTGGGATTTAGGGAGCTAGGGATGGTCTGGAATCTCCTCTCTACCACTTTCTCTGTCTCCTGTATGTTGCCAATCCCAGCCCATACCCTGAAGCCCATTCTCACTTCTCCACCGATTTGTTTCTCTAGAAATTAACAGAAAGATAAGATTCCAGTTTGTTCCCCCATGTTCTGACCTTGCCCTCGAGTCAATTATCTGCTCTTTGCTACATCAGGATGATTTTCTCCAAGTTTAGCCTTGTCAAGGGATGAGCTTCTCTCTAGAAATCCGGCCTTCGGGAAGAAAGGGAGGAGATTGAGGACGTTTTCCCTGTCACTGATAACAAATGCTGGAGTCAGACAGAGAATAGAGCTGGAGTGGGAGACTGGGGAGAGGAAAGACTGTGGAAACCCCAGCGCTCAGGCCCATCTGGAGGGAGCAGCCCCAGCCTCTGCTGCCTGGGGAGATTCAGGCCTATCATTGCCAAAGCTGTTGACTTGAGAGAAGCTGTAGATTTAGACCTAATTCCTTGAGTTTTAAAAACCACATTTGTATATTTTATTTGGGAATAGATTAGATTTACAGAAAAGTTACAAAGATTGTTCAAAGAGTTGCCATATTAACCCTAAAGTTTTTTAATACACTTTTAATTTTTTTGTTTGTTTGTTTGAGACAGAGTCTCACTCCGTTGCCAGGCTGGAGTACAGTGGCACGATCTGGGATCACTGCAACCTCCGCCTCCCAGGTTCAAGAGATTCTCCTGCCTCAGCCTCCCGAGTAGCTGGGATTACAGGCACACACCACCACGCCCAGCTAATTTTTGTATTTTTAGTAGAGACAGGGTTTTACCATATTGGCCAGGATGGTCTCGATCTTCTGACCTTATGATCCCACTCACCTTGGCCTCTCGAGGTGAGTCACTGCGCCTGGCCACCATTTTTAGTTTTTTAATAGAGATGGCACCTCATTATGTTACCCAGGCTGGTCTTGAGCTCCTGGCTCCCTTTGTTAACATCTCACATCACCATGGTACATTTGTCAGTACTAAGGGGCCAGGCATGATGGCTCACGCCTATAATCCCAGCACTTTGGATTGAGGCAGGAGGATAGCTTGAGATCAGGAATTCAAGACCAGCCAGGGCAACACAGTAAAACCCTGTCTCTACAAAAGATAGAAAAGTAGCTGGGCATGGTGGTGCACAGCTGTGGTCCCAGCTATTCAAGACACTGAGGCTGAAGAATTGTTTGAGACCAGGAAGTTGAGGCTGCAATGAGCCATAATCGCACCCCTGCACTTCAGCCTGGGTGACAAAGCAAGACCCTATCCCCCCTCCAAAAAAAACCCTAAGAAACCAGCATCAGCATGTTGCTCTTCCCTGAACTCCACGCCCTGTTTTGATGTCGCCAGTTTTCCATGAGGGTCCTCTTTCTGTTCCAGGATCCAGTCTAAGGTGCCACATGGCACGAGGTTGTCACATCTCCTTAGTCTTTTCCGGTCTGTGACAGTTTCAATCATACCCTGCTTTTTGTCACTTGCACAGTTTTGAGGCATGCCAGTTGGGTGCTTCCTAGAAGGTCCCTCGATTTTGGTTTGATGTTTTTCTTGTGGTTAGACTGGAGACAGGAATTTATGGAACAATCACCACAGAGGGGGGCTTCTTATCGCATCCCATCAGAGGGCACCCTGTGCCCACATGCCCACATTTGGCATCACAGATGCCAACCTGCGTATGGTGGTGCCTGCCGGCTTTCTCCGATGGAATTTACCAGTTCCCTCTTTCCAGACCCGTTCGGTTCTTTCCATGTATTAAGCTTGTGCACATTTACTTTGTACTTCGAGTTATGATCTAATACTATGTTAGTTTTTTGTTGCTCAGATTGTCCCAGCTTTGGCCATGCCACTCTCGCAGGTTGGCTCTGTGTCCCTTGGGTAAGCCCCATCCTTTATTTAGTGGAACACTTCCTTGCTTTCTGGTGCTACAAGATGCTCCAGGCTCGGCTCAGTCCTAGAACCAGCCATTTCTCATGGGAGCCCCACTTGAATTTTTGTTTGTTTTTAGAGACAGGGTCTTGTACTGTCACCCAGGCTGGAGTACGGTGGCACCATCTTGGCTCACTGCAACCTCCGTCTCCTGGGTTCAAGAAATTCTCCTGCCTCAGCCTCCTGAGTAGCTGGGATTCAGAGGCGTGCGCCATCATGCCCGGCTAATTTTTGTATTTTTAGTAGAGATGGGGTTTCACCATGTTGGCCAGACTGGTCTCAAACTCCTGACCTTAGGTGATCCACCCACCTGGGCCTTCCAAAGTGTGGAATTACAGGTGTGAACCACCACATCTAGCCGCTCCTCAGAATTTGAGAACCATGAGTATATTGTCTTTTTTGCACAACAAAGATGTGATGGCATGAAAATGGAATCTCTCGTTCTCTCTTACACAAACACACACAGAAGAGTTAGGCTTGGTTGTTGGGCTCTGAAGGAAAATGGAACCATCAGTATCTGATTTCAGTGATCAAGGGAAAGATAGATGGCTTCATACAGTTCACTTTGGGGGCCCTTGCAAGCAGAAGAAAATGAAGACAAAATGAAACGGTGCAAGAAAGTACTTAGCACAGTGCCTGAGTGTCGGAAGCATCTAATACATGAGACTTGTGGATTTCATTAACATGATTAATGAATATTAATCAAAATGATCCACTTGTTAATATTAATTGCAATGCAATGAAAACCTGACTGACTTTGGCTTTGGTTTACAGAAGCGATTCTAATTCTTTCCATTTGCTCCAGTGCAATCGTTTAGAAAATGAAGATATTTAATTTGGGACTGGTGTTGCTGGGGGTTTGGTGTTAAGTGATTAATTTGTGGTTCATTAACTAATACCTGGGTAGGTCTGGATCCGCAGAGGCAACGAGGTTGGGCCTCCCCGGTGCTCTGGGTTGTTCTAGGGCCTGTCTTGGGCAGGATGCCACCTGGCACCTCAGCCGTCAGTGAGGTCTGCACAGACCCTGGCCAACCTCTGAGGCAGGCAGGAGGACACAGTGATGGAGCAGAAGGCCTGATGAGCTGTTTTGTTCCTTGCAGATCAGAAGTGATACTTCACAGATCCTGGAGGAACACCTCCCAGTCCTTAAGGCCAAATTGACAGAAATGCGTGGGATCTACACCAAAGTGGACCGGCTAGAGGTGTGTCTGGGGAAATGAAGGTTCTGAGGCTGTGGACTTAATCTGGCTTTTGCCTTTTCCTCGAAGATGCTGCTCCGGCCTTGAGCATGTCAAGCATTAAGCCCGATAGAGGGGGTTGGTGGTGGGGGTTGGGGGTCTGCACTCAAGTGATATTTCGAAAAAATCACAAGTAAGAATCTGTTTTCCAGGTCAGGTATGGTGGCTCATGCCTGTAATCCCAGCATTTTTAGAAGCCAAGGTGGGAGGATTGCTTGAGCCCAGGAGTTTGAAACCAGCCTGGGCAACATGGCAAAACCCTATCTCTCTAAAAAATACAAAACTTAGTCAGGTGTGGTGGTGCATGCCTAGGGTTCCAGCTACGTGGGAGACTGAGGTGGGAGGACGGCTTGAGTTCAGGAGGTCATAGCTGTGGTGAGCCTCAATTGTACCACTGCTCTCCAGCCTGGGCAATGGAGCAAGATCCTGTCTCAAAAAGGAAAAAAAAAGTTTGCAGCATTTAAAAATCAGGGTACTTTAGGCCAGGCACGGTGGCTCACACCTGTAATCCCAGCACTCCTGGAGGCCAAGGCAGGAGGATCACAAGGTCAGGAGATCGAGACACTCATGGCTAACATGGTGAAACTCTGTCTCTACTAAAACTACAGAACATTAGCTGGGTGTGGTGGTGTGTGTCTGTAGTCCCAGCTACTCAGGAGGCTGAGGCAGGAGAATCGCTTGAATCTGGGAGGTGGAGGTTGCAATGATCCGAGATCTCATCATTATACTCCAGCCTGGGCGACAGAGCAAAAACTCCATCTCAAAAAAAAAAAAATCATCGTACTTTATATAAAAATCCGCACTGTAAGCTTTTGAAAATTCAGAAGCTTTGATAACCTTGGGCCCACATTACCTTAAATGCTTTAATCTGTTTACGTTTCAAGGTATAAATATATAATGTATATACATCTATGTATGTAGTTGAGTGAATTTTTACATATATCAACATGATGTAGTGATGACTCAAATTGAGAGAGTATTTCCAGCCCCTGGGTTGTGTTCTTGCAGCATTCTTGCAAGAAGGGATGAAGGCTGAGTGTGGTGCCTCCCGCTGGATTACAATCCCAGCACTTTGGTAAGCCAAGGTGGGTGAATCAGTCGAGGCCAGGAGGTCGAAACCAGCCTGGCTAACATGGTAAAACCCTGTTTCTACTAAAAATACAAAAATCAACCAGGCGTGATGGCGCACACCTGTCATGCCAGCTACTCGGGAGGCTGAGGCACAAGAATCACTTGAACCCAGGAGGCAGAGGTTGCAGTGAGCCGAGATTGTGCCACTGTACTCCAATCTGGGCAACAGAACAAGACTCTGTCTCAAAAAAAAAAAAAAAAAAAAATGGAAAGAGCTGGTGGCAGCTGCTTCCCAGAAGGGTACCGGCTCTCCAGTTTTCCGCAATCCCCACTGTGCCCTGTTGCCTGACTGCTGTCGTGGCTCACTCATCACTTACTCACCTGGCTGAGATGCATGCCGTCTCATTTCCTCCCTGCTGCACTGCAGAATCAGTCCCCTCACTGCCCCCCGTCTCCTGGAGGAGGAGCATAAGCTCTGCAAGGTAAGCCACTTCTCCGCAGTTATACTGCTAGTTACATCAAGCCAGGACTCCAGCTCATATGTACTGGAGCGGACGCTCTTCGTCCACCTGGGCCCTGGAATTGGGACCCCAGCTCCTTGCACAGAAGAGGACTGGGAGGCTGGGAGGAGTTTGCGGTTGAGTCCTGGTCACCTGGCCAGAGGGAGTGTGGGGCCTCTCCCACGCTGCAAAGCAGCCTTCAGCACCAAGTTAGTAGAGAATTAACATTCTTGTCAGCAGAGAATGAAGCAGGAATATAATTAAAACTTTGCCCTTGGAATAGCTGATTCATTTGAATTTTATTCCACACGTTTGAAAGAGGAAAGAAAATGTGAAGATTTGCAGCCTGGTTCTTGCCTAGCCTGGGCCAGCCCAGCTGTCTTGCCCGTTTCTTTCTGAGCATTCTGCCCGCGGACATTGACCGAGGGCCGGGAGAGACCCTCAGCAAGTTATTACCGTATCGGCCTCTGATCGCTGCTGGGAGAAATTACCGTGAACTTAGTGGCTTAAAACAACACGCAGGGCCGGGCGCGGTGGCTCAAGCCTATAATCCCAGCACTTTGGGAGGCCGAGGCGGGTGGATCACGAGGTCGAGAGATCGAGACCGTCCTGGTCAACATAGTGAAACCCCGTCTCTACTAAAAATACTAAAAAAAAAAATTAGCTGGGCATGGTGGCGCGTGCCTGTAATCCCACCCACTCAGGAGGCTGAGGCAGGAAAACTGCCTGAACCCAGGAGGCGGAGGTTGCGGTGAGCCGAGATCGCGCCATTGCACTCCAACCTGGGTAACAAGAGGGAAACTCTGTCTCAAAAAAAAAAAAAAAAAAAAAAAAAAAAAAAAAAAAACACACACACACACAGGCGCCTCCCTGCACCTACCCTGGCTCAGGAGGCTCCCCGATTAAAAACAACAACATACACACTTTTTTTTTCTTTTTTTTTTTTTTGAGACGGAGTTTTGGTCTTGTTACCCAGGCTGGAGTACAATGGCCCGATCTTGGCTCACCACAACCTCCACCTCCTGGGTTCAAGCAATTCTCCTGCCTCAGCCTCCTGAGTAGCTGGGATTACAGGCACGTGCCACCATGCCCAGCTAATTTTTTGTATTTTTAGTAGCGACGGGGTTTCACCATGTTGACCAGGATGGTCTCGATCTCTTGACCTCATGATCCACCCGCCTCAGCCTCCCAAAGTGCTGGGATTACAGGCGTGAGCCACCGCGCCCGGCTTTTTTTTCTTTTAGATGGAGTTTCATTCTGTTGCCCAGGCTGGAGTACAGTGGCATGATCTTGGCTCATTGCCACGTCTGCCTCCTGGGTTCAAGTGATTCTCCTACCTCAGCCTCCCAAGTAGCTGGGATTACAGGCACCTGCCACCATGTCTGGCTCGTTTTTGTATTTTTAGTAGAGACAGGGTTTTGCCATGTTGGCCAAGCTGGTCTCAAACTTCCAACCTCAAGTGATCTGCCCACCTCAACCTCCCAAAGTGCTGGGCTTACAGGCGTGGACCACTGGCTCGGCTACAGCACACGTTTATTATCTTGCAGTTCTGGAAGTCAGAACCTCAGAATGTGCCTTATGGGGCTAAAGTCAAGGTGATGGCAGGTTGGCCCCTTCCAGAGGTTCTGGGGAGAATCCTTGCCTTTCCTTGCCTTTTTTCTTGCCTTTTCCAGATTTTAGCACTGCCTGCACTCCTCGGCTCGTGGCCCCTTCCTCCCCCTTCGAAGCCCACAGAGTGGCATCTTCCTGTCTTTCTGTTGCTGGCCCTCCTGCCTCCTTCTTGTAAGGACCCTTGAGATCACCCGGATGATCCACAGTGATCTCCCATTCTAAGATGCTTCACTTAATCACACCTGCAGGGGCCCTTTTGCCAAGGAAGATGACATATTCACAGGTTCTGGGACCAGGACGTGAGCATCTTTGGGAGCCACTGGTCTGCCGCCCACGCTAAGGCAGGAGTTGCTTTCATTAGGCAAGCACTGTGAAGGGCAGTAGCGACTGAGGCCTGGGGTCTGCAGGCCCCTGGAGAGCGAGTGGAAGGAACCGCGTCAGCTGGGTGTGGGACCTGTGGGAACCGGGTCAGGTGGGCGCAGCGCAGGCAGGGGCTCCGGTGGGATCTGGGCTCTGAGCAGGGCGAAGACTGGGCTGTTGGAAGGATCCTGGGAGGCCAGGTCATGGAGGCAAAGGGGAATCTGACCCCAGTGGGGCTGGAGAAATGGGCAGCAGCAGCCAGGTTGCCCAAGCCTTACCATCCAAGGTCAGAACTTTGGCCTTTATCCTGAGGAAGAGGAAGCCACCGAAGAGTCAGGACAGCCTAGTGATCAGACGCACACACCCCAGGGCAGGGCTTCTCAGCCTCAGTGCTGCTGACTTGGAAAGTTTTCTGCTGTGGGGCAGTTTTGGGCTTTGTAAGTTGCTTAGCAGCCTCCCTGGCCTCCATTCACAAGATACTAATAGCATTCCTCCAGCCCTACTCCGCAGCGTGACAACCAAACATGTTGCCAAATGTCCCCTGGGGGCCCAGATCACTCCTGTTGCGAAGTGCTAATCTAGAGCCGCAAAGCCTGAGTTCAAGTCCTAGTGCTACTGCCTCCTCGTGTGTGACCCCCAGAAAATTCCGAGCCTCCTTTCCCTATAAAATGGGAGTTACAGTGGTGAGATTCTTGTATCCAAATCCTTGTTGTATTCAACATGTCTGCTACACGGTGGGCTGCTCTGAGATGGGTGCCGGGTGTACAGCCGAGGGGAGATGTCTGGTTCCCTGCTGGTGATCCTGGAGGAGCACTGGACAGGGAATCAGTCCAGGCGGGGCAGGCCGGCCACAAGAGTACACACCAAGAGCTCCTGGCCAGAGCTAGAACAGAGAGGGCTTCCCAAGTATGTGACCTTGACCCTGAGGTCTGAGATCTGGCGCAGGAAACCTGCGGAGGGAGCAGCTTGTGTAAAGGAAGGTCCAGGGGTGGGAAAAGGCAGCCTCTCAGGCACCTTGGGGCCGGGAGGAGCTCAAGGTCGGGGATGAGGCTGGAGTGAGGGGCATGGCAGATAGTGTAGGGCCAACGCCTGCAGTTTAGACCCTGTTCCAAGAATGACGGGACCCATCAGAGGGATTGCAGCTGCTGGAACCCCCACTCCCACCAACAAGAAAGTTGACGTTGATGATTATTTTTTCATCCATCCATCCATTCATTCATTCATTCACTCACTCACTCACTGGAGACCTGGGTTCACTAAGTTGCTACCCAGTCTGGTCTCAAACTTTTTTTTGGAGATGGAGTCTTTCTCTGTCACCCAGGCCGGAGTACAGTGGTGGGATCTCAGCTTACTGCAACATCCATCTCCTGGGTTTAAGCGATTCTCCTGCCTCAGCCTCCCAAGTAGCTGGGGTGACAGGCA